AGAAGGGGTTTAACCACCAACGTTTTTTTCATCAGTGTTTTATTATGCAAAAGAAAAAGTAAACACCTACCCATGCTATTAAACCAAAACATTACCTTTATTGAATAAAATGTAAAGAAATCCACAACATTAATTACATGCACACACATGTGCATACATATCAGTTTATACAGAACATAGTGCAGTTATGGAACAGTTATGCATAAACTTCAGCAAAGGAACCAGAAATTTCCAAATCACCTCCATTGGTATATTATTCCTAAAGGGCAGTGTTCAAATATCATAGAATCATAGAAGAGTAACTTCTATCAAACTTGGGATTTTTTCTTATAATTGGCTGGAGAAATGGGACTTGGTGTAAATTTAGAGATGCTTTCCAGTTATTATAAACTGATTTAAATATGACTATAGAATGTTAAAAAATATGTAGTAGGGGGTTGACCCAGTAAATCCGAAGTATGTGATGACTGATGTTTTTACTATTAGTTTAAAATTTTTAATAAAATTAAAAAAAAAAAAAAGAATAATAGAAGAGTAGAGAGGGAAGCAGCCTAACCCAAATTACGAAGGAGCCTTACCCCAAATTCACCTGTTCCTCTCAGATGTCTGTCCAGTTGCATTTTGAATGCCTCTACTGTGGGAGAGCCCACAACCTCACACGCACGACTACCAGGTTAATTTGTTCTATTGTCATACTTCTCTAACAGTCAGGAAATTTAACAAAATAGTCAGTTTTGTTAAATTCTCCTCCCGTTGCACTATTGTAAATGGCTGCCATCTTTCCAATGTTGTAATATTGGTCTTTCAGCTGTCCAAGGGCATCCATTTACATTGACCTTCTATTAAATTCCAAGAAATGGGTAGCTAATTCAAATGAATGAGTCTATCCTTGAATGTTGAAAACTTTTCAGTGACAAAATCCATGACCCCATTTAAGGAAATTAGAGAAATTTTAGATATAGACTTAGAATTGTCACCGAGAATTGTGTTATTACTGTTGATTAAAAAACAAGATATAAATAAAGCTAAGAAAGAATTGATCATAAGTTTGATAATGGCAGTTAGGTTAGTGATAGTTAAACATTGGAAACAGAATTGGGTTTTACAAAGGCATGAATGGTATTATGAAATATGGAATGTGGTAATTAATGATAAACTGATGATAGAAATAAAAATTTAAAAGGGTTAATGAAAGCAAATAAATTTAAGGAAATTTGGGAAGATTTTGTAAAAGCAGTACTGATAGAAGGCAAAGGTTGCAAACCTAATCAAGATTATATGAATTTCTGGAGCAGATATGGATATAATTGAAGTATATTATATATTATTAATTGTTGTAATATGTGGATTAAGTGGAGGTATTATTGGTCTCCGGGATAGTGGGGGCACTTTATCATTTACTTTTCTTATTATTGAGTTTTTGTATGTAATTTATTTATTTAGAACATTTCTATGTTATATTATTATTGCTGTATTGTGCTGCATTTCTGGTTTTTCTTCTTCTGCATTTAAAAAAAAATTAAAAGGGTGGGGGTGGTGGACAAAATCCATGACCCCAAGTGAAACAGATAACGATAAAGTGCTCCCACGCATTACACTGTTCCAGGTTAAGGTTCTCTGTGTTGCATTTATTCATCAATAATGTTTACAAAGATGAATTGTGCCCTCAGTCTTCTCTAGTAAGACTGCTCAGTTTCAATCAATACATAAAAAAAGTCATGCTGGATTGAACTGACCAAAGGACCTTCCAGTCCAGCACTCCATGCACACAGTGCGCACAGGATCATGCTTGAGCATGATGAATGTGTTACCGCCACCTGTCCAGGTGCCTGAGCTCTGGTACCGGAGAAGCTCTGGTAAAGGAGGTGGCCAGCAAGGCTAGCAGCCACTCAATCCCATCTTCTTCATGAATCTATCCGATCCCTTTTAGAGCCATCCAGATTAGTGGCCAGCACCACTTCTTCTGGCAGTGAATTCCTTAGTTTAATTAAGACTCCGAGGCGATCTTTGGCGACATACAGGTATGCGAGGGGATGTCACATGGAGATGGGTAGAGACCTGTTCTCCCCTGCAGAGGAAGGCAGGACGTGCTCCAACGGAGCCAAGCTCAGGGAGCCAAGGTTCCGTTTGGATGCCAGGAAGCATTTCCTGACGGTTAGGACCCCGAGGGTGTGGAATGGTCTTCCACGAGAGGTCGTTGAGGCCCCATTGGTGAGAGTGTTCAAAGATTGGCCCCTGCTAACTCTCTACGTACTCTTGCATGGTGGGCATGTTGTGAGCGGAGCCGGCTGGTGCCGGAGGTCAGACTAGATGGCTCGGGAGACCTCTTCTGACTTGTTCTGTTTCCATGTTTCTATGTTTTAGTGACTTGTAGGTATGTAAGGGGATGTCATGTGCAGGAGGGCTGTGAGCTGTTCTTCCTTGCAATGGAGGGCAGGATGCAGGCCAGTGGGGCAAAGCTCAAGGAACCAGGCTTCAGGTTGGATGCCAGGAAGTACTTCCTGAAGGTTAGGACCCCTAGGATATGGAATGGGCTTCCAAGGGAGGTGGTGGAGGCCTCATCAGTGAGGGTGTTCAAGGAAAGATTGGACAACCACCTGTTGGGGATTACATGAGCAGAGTCAGCAGGAGCTGGGGTTCAGACTAGATGGCCCTGGGGGACCCTATTCTAACCCATCTCTTTTCCTGTGTTTCTATGGAAAGCAAAATATGATTATCAGTTGTATGATTGGTATAAAGAAGTCTGAAAATAGCTATTAATGATAAACTTGTGATATTTAAGTGAAAAGGGGTATATAAAGAATAATGATTTTAATGAGATTTGGGATGCATTTATTGAATATGTGTTTAAAAAGGGGAAATAATTTGAACCTTTACAAGAATAATTACAATTCTGGAAGGGGGAAATTTCTTGAAATAATTCTTGAATAAGCTTAACATGTATCCAGTGGTCCTGGTGATGGGGTATACAGCTCTTTATGAATTATTTTAATACTATGATTAATGTTGCTTGTTTTTATTTCAACTGCAAGCTTTTCAAATTTTATTTTATATTGAAAATAATGTCTAAACATTTAAAAGAATCAGTGAGAAAAGATTATGCTGATAGCCCTCAAATGGCTATGAAAACTGTGGTACACTGACCTCATGAACATATTAATGACCAGACTGATAGTCCTCCTTATGTGCTTGGACCCACTGAGGCTCCAGCCAATCATGCATCAAGATTCAGCCTTCTTAAGCCTGACCACTTGAAGGTTGAGTGAGAACTTCTAAACAGGTCAGGTTACTCTGCCAAAATCATGTTCACTTGTCTTGCCTTCACCAGGGCCTCTTCTAACAAAACTTATGAGTGTGCTTAGCTTGCATCTCACAGGTGGTGCCAGGGCATTACCCAACAAGATCAGCTGCTGTGTAATTCTTGCACAGTAGTGCATCTGTGGATCTTGGGATGATTACACTGAGGAAGGTGTTCCCAGATGGGCTGGACATGCACAGGTAGGCATGTCATGGGTGCGGCCAGTTGGAGCCTGGGGTCAGACTAGATGGCCCAAGAGACCCCTTCTGACTCACTCTGTTTCTGTTTCTAAATTTCTTGGCCCTGGAATCCATCCTAAGGGACTCAGAGGTGATCATATTTGAGAATACCTGTGGTTGGAAGAGACAATCCTGTAATGATTTTTTCTTTGCATTTGTCCTCATCTGGAAGCTTCTCTTCATTGTCTGTTAGGCTTGACTCCCTAGGGAAGCTGCAGCTCAAGAATTCAGGTTAGGAGGGTCATGGTGAACAGTTCCTGTTCCTCTGGCTCCCTGCCTCCCTGCCCTATTCTTTGGCTGTGCAGGAGAAATGGATCTGGATATTTGGTGCAAAGGCCAGGCATGGTTGCTCTAGCAAGTCTCTCTCCATCTCTTGGTCCCTTGCGGAAGAATGCAGGAGAGAGCTGGAGTTCAAGCTGCCCCTGCAACTTGACTGGATCCTGCTTTGCCAACTATCCACCAAGGTCGGTGAGAACTCTTTCAGGACAATCTCCCTCTGGATCCAGCCAGTGGAGGTGGAATCCCTGATGTGGGAGCTTTTCCTGGAATTAGCCTTAGCCACTTCTGTGGTCTTTCTTCCACTTCAGAGCAGTTTTGCCTCTGAACTGGTATACATCTACCTTCAGGACGCTCAGCATGAACTTTCCTTGCACCTTGGCTAATTCAGAGATTCCAGGGAAGAGATTTCTCTCTTCAGGCTAGCCGGTCTGCCAGAGTCAGATTGAAATAGGGAATAACCCCCTTTAAATGTCTCTAGGAGCAAAGCCTGTAGGAATGGGGGACTGGGTGGAAAGACACATTAGCGTCCTTCTCCAATGGCTAGCTTGAAACCACTCTGTGAGAACCACCAGGTTGGTACCCTTGGTGCCCAAGTTGAATGGGTGCTGAGCCCCTCCTGCTCTCACCCATCCACATCTATATGGTGCTTTTTTTCCGATTTATATCCTGCCTTTTTCCTACAAAGAGCTCAAGGCAGCTTACATCATTCTCCTCCTCCGTCTTATCCCTGCAACAACAACCCTGTGAGGGCTGAGAGTCTGTGACTGGCCCAAAGTCACCCAGTTGGTTCCATGGCCAAGTGGGGACTAGAACCCAGATCGCCTGAGTCCCACTCCCATGCTCTTAACCACTACACCACACTGGCTTTTGTGGATGGGAAGATGGAATAATTCCTTAGCCTGCTTCTGTTGCCGTTACTGCTCCTCTCCATTCACCAGGTTCCACAGCCACTCCAGAGATGAGAGGAGCAGATCCCTGCAGATCTCTGTCTAGCCCAGCAACTGCTGGGTGCTTATCAAGCTAGCTGGCCTCATTCACTCAGAGGGAGAAAGGGACAGTTTTAAAATTGTTAGCTGCCTTGAGCACCATTTGTTCAGCTGTACAGCTATTAATGTTAAAATATCGTGTAACAATCTATTTTCTTTCATTTTCTCAGTGCCTGAAAGTGCTTCACTTGGCACAACATGGCGCCTAAGAAAACAAAGTCAAAAGACAAGAAAGGCCTGGCCAAGGAACAAAGCATTTCTTGCCAATTTGTCAGCGAGAGGGAGCAGTACCTGCAGAAGGAATATGCCATCCTGACAGAGCATGTTAATACATACACGGAGCGTGTGGAGCACTTTCAGTCAGAAAATGAGTTCCTGGACAAGGAGGCGCAGCAAATCCGAGAGAACAGCAAAGCTTACCTTGCCTATTTAGCCAAGCGCACCCTGAAATGCCAAAATGCCATCATAACACTGAATGATCAGAACCGTTCAGACCTGGCACATGTTCTAAAGCAAAAGGAAGAGCTGACCTCACAGTACACAGACAAGGAGAAAGAAATGAGGAGCCAGCTGATAGAAATGGAGACCAAGTACTCGCTCATGAACAAAGAAGTTGAAGAGTTGAAGCCCTTCAAAGAACTGCAGTCTGAACAGCTGACCCGGATCAGAGAGTTGGAGAAGGAGCTGTTGGCTATGAAAATTCAGCATTCGGAGCAAATGCATAAGGTCAAGAGTCAGTTCCTGCAGCAGAAAGCAGAGTATGAAATCAAGTCTCAGCAGGAAGTCCAAGCTCTGGCCAAGAGGGCTGAGAAGGAAGCAGTGCGCAGTCTAATCCAGCACACCAAGCAAGTAAAAGCTGAAAACGTGCGCCTGCGCAATGAACTTTTGAACCTTATCAAACGAGCCCAAGGTCTGAAAGGCATTGTGCAACAGCTCAGAGAGCAAAAGGAACAGCTTCTCCGGGAGCTCCAGTATGGTCAAGACCTGGCACACCTGCGTCACTGGCTAACACAGCAAGGGGCTCCGAGGTGCATCTCCTCGCACAGCAGCTTAAGAACTAGGAATAGATCAAGCTCCACACAAGCCACTCCTACTCAAGTGACCATCAGCAATGACCCAAAATCTCCCATAAGTGTCCAACTGGCAGCAGATAACTTCCTAGCATCTCAGATTCCAGCATCAAGTCGTACAGAAAACAGTATGCTCCATTAGCAGGTAGCCTCCAGAGGGTATTTCAAGACACCAGTTGCGATCCTGACTTGTCACTGGCATCCTAAGTAGCTCAGCCAAAATTGACCTTCTAATTCAAAGGGAGCTCAGACTCCCCCCCCCACCCCGCTGCAGAACCAAGCAGCAATTCAGAAGAGCTTCCTCTCTACCATGTATCACAACCAAGGCTTCCTGCTTTTTGTACCTTCCCTACTGGGCAAAGAGAACTGGGAAACATTTAAATGAAAGATAAAAAAATAAATGGAGGTTTATGGAACCTATTCTTTTATAGGCAGCCCATCTTTCTGTTAGTGCTGTTGCAAAAACCTGTTTATTTCATGTTACATTTTGCAATTGATTGCTGCTAGAATGTTATCATGAGGTTTCATTGTGCTGTGAGCAGCTTGAGGCAGATTTATATGCAGAAACATTGGAAGAGAGTCAGAAGGGGCCTCTCAGGCCATCTAGTCTGGCTCCCAGCTCCAGCTGGCTCTGCTCATATTATGCCCAACATGTGGTTGTCCAATCTTTCCTTGAACACGTCACTGATGGGGCCCCAACCACCTCCCTTGAAAGCCTGTTCCATAGCCAAATCACCCCTTTTTCTTCCTCTTCCTCTTCTTCATCTAGCCAAGCTAGCTGACCACTGTTCCTTTTATTCCTTGCTTCATTTAAATTAACCCAGATGCTCTCAATGTCATCAATTGACATGGAAGAAGGGGTGAACAGTCTGCTGATCAAATTTGCAGACAATACTAAATCCGGGTCAGTGGCCACAACTGTGGAGCAGGTACTCCAGATCCAAAAGGATCTGGACAGACTATGGAAATGGAGAGGAGACAACAGGATGGCGTTCAATGTGGATAAGTGCAAGGTCTTGCACTTGGGGCATAGGAATAGGTGTCATAAGTACAGGTTTGGGGATAAGTGGCTGGAGAGCACTTGTGAAAGGGATCTTGGGGTGCTGGTTGACTGGAGGCTAAACATGAGTCAGCAGTGTGATGTGGTGGTTAAGAGGGCAAACGCCACCCTTGGTTCCATAGCCAAAAGTGTGGCCTGTAGATCAAGAGAGGTACTACTGCCGCTCTATAGAACTCATACGGAGGGAACTGGGCCTTTTCAGCCTGGAGAGATTCCGAGGGGATCTGTTGGCGACAGATTGGTACATGAGGGGGTGTCACAGACTTGGGTTGAGACCTGTTTCCCCATGGAGTGGAGGGAAGGATGTGTTCCAATGGAGCAAAGCTCAGGGAACTAAGATTCAATTTGGATGTCAGGAAGTACTTCCTGACAGTTAGGACCCCTAGAGTATGGAATGGGCTTCCACGGGAGGTTGTTGAAGCCCCATCCATGAAGGTGTTCAAGGATAGGCTGGATATGTACATGGTAGGCATGTCATGAGTGGAGCCGGCTAGAACCAGGGATCAGACTGGATGGCCTGAGAGGCCCCTACTGACTTGCTATGTTTCTATGTTTTTCTGTGCTGTGAAAAAGCCAAATTTCACTTATTTGGAAGCTTATTAGAAAAGGAGCAGAAATTAAAAGGTGCCAGTATCACAATGCCTCTATACGTACCTCTGGCACAAACATGCCTGACATCAAAACTGCAATGAGGGGAAAGGCATATTTCAAGCACACAGTTCACCGTATTCAACTTTTATTAATGAGCCACAAAGCTGGATTCAATGCCCTTGGGGCAAATGAACTCGGAGACATCAGGGCTGCAGAAGGGATTTAACAAGGATTTAGCTGTGGGGGATCCAGTTAAGACGACTTTGCCCAAGTATTTCATTCTAGGCAAACTGTTCATAGACCTCTCCTGCCCCGTGAAGCAATGGTCTTGAGAGTGTTGTCCTAGTCTTTCACTGAAGGAAGCCGTGGATTATGGAGACTAGCCTGGGCTGCAAAATCTGCACTGAGTTTCTTCATGATTGCTCCGTGGCTCGGGTCTTGCTGTGAGCATTTAGTGGAACCATAGTTTTCTTTCACATACTTTGCAAATGGAGCAAGTGGTTTTGTGGCTGGTGTGCCATCTTTCCAGGTGGGTTGGCACAGCACAAACTTCCCCCTGCAAAAAGCACAGACAAAGCGTTCCACATCCAGGGATCTGGAGTGGCGCCCAATCCTAAAAGGACAAACAAAAGAAAATCAGTGAGGGAACAGGAACAGCTGTGCGACTATAACTAGCTGACACTCTTCAACAAAAGTAACAGAAAGCAGCCCCAGGATTCTGAATGCCAAGCTAGAGGAGAGACTGTCCAAGGGGAGGTATCATGATTACTATAGAAAGAGCACTATGAGGAGTAAAAAGGGTGAGGCCCAGCAGTGAAGGTTAAGGAGAAACAGCTATGTTTTGCAGAAATCTTCATCCCACTTCTTAGAATAACTTTCTCCAATGCTGCTAGCAAAGAAGCAAGCAAGCACATTCAAATACATGCAAGTAAAATATGCGATGGACGGCTAACATAAGCAGTAGCTGAATGCTGCACAATGTTGTTTAAAAGGCATTTTTGGGGGGATGACTGTTCAGGATTTGCTGTATTTCTTTGCTCACTGTATTGTTTTACTTATCCACACTTTTATTGCATTTTATGCTTTTTACGGATAAACTATTTTTATTTTTGTTGCAGAAATCTGCCTTACATTTGCTTTGTATAGAAGGCTAGATGACAATTTTATAATTAAAAGTAAATATACAAACATAAGAGAATTCTATCTGATGAACCAAACTAGTTCCTGCTAGAATCAAAAAACGAGAATCATAGAATGGTAGAGGTGGAAAGGGACAGAGGGCCATCAGGCCCAACCCTCTGCTGAGTGCAGGTCTCCAAGTTAAACCATCCCTCTCAGATGGCTGTCCAGTTGCATCTTGAATGCCTCTAGTTTGGCAGAGCCCACAGCCTCCCCAGGTTAACGGTTCCATTTTTGTACTACTCTAACAGTCAGGACATTTTTCCTGATATCTTGTTGGTTCCCTGTAACTTAAGTCTGTTGGTCTCTGTCCTGCACTCTAGGATCAAGAGTAGATCCTGACCCTCTTCAGTGTGACCCCCTTCTAAGTAACTGGTAAATTGCCATCGTATCTCCCCTCAAGTTTTCTCTTCTTGAGGTTAGACGACCAGTTCTCTCAATGTCTCCTCACAGGGCTTTGTTTCCAGGCACTGGATCATCCTTGCTGCCCCTGAACCATTTCCTGCTTGTCTGCATCTTCTTAAACTGTGGTGCCCACGACTGTACTCCAGATGAAGCTTAGCCACTGCTGAGATAAGGGGAACTGTTACTTCATTGCATTTGGAAGTGAGACTTCTATTAATGCAGCCTAAAACAGTGTTTCATAGAATAGCAGAGATGGAAGGGGCACAAGGCCATTGGGTGCAACCCCCAACTATTGCAGGACAATAAGCTACACCACCCATTCAGTTGACTGGCCTGATGCTTTCTGAATGTCTCTGGAGAGGGAGAAGCCACCACTTGCTCAGGTAATAGGGTCCATTGCCCTTCTGCTCTGACAAGTGATGCAATTCTTCTTGGTGTCTTATCCTTTTTTGACTCATATTCATCTTGTGATCTGTAACAATTCCAAGATCCAGCTCATTTCCAGTACTGTTGAGCCAAGTATTCCCCATGTTGTAACACTGCATTAGGTTTCTTTTTGCTAGGTGCAGATCCTGGCATCTGTCCCTACTAAATTTCATTTTGTTGTTTTTAGCCCAGTGCTCCAACCTATCAAGATCACCTTGACTCTTACTTCTGCCTTCCAGAGGACTGGCTATCCCACCCACTTTTGTGTCATGTGCAAATTGTTCCTGCAGTTCCTCATCCACATCATTAATGAAAATGTTGAAGAGCACTAGGCCCAGGACTGAATCCTGAAGTGCCTCACTTGTTACCTCTCCCTAGTTTGAGGAGGTGTCATTGACAGAACTCTTTGAGTCCGATTCTGTAGCCAACTGTGGATCCACCTGATCTTTGTTCCATCTAGCCCACTTTGAGCTAGTTTGCTAATCATGGGTAGCTTTGTCAAAAGCTTTGCTGCGTTCAAGATATACTATGTACACAGCGTTCCCACAGTCCATTGGGGACATTAGCCAATCAAAATATGAAATCAGATTTGTCCTGAGTAACAGTGGGATCTGTTCTTGAGAAATCCATGTTGGGTTCTAGTTCTCACTGCATTGTTTTCAAGGTGTTTGCAGACTGACTACTTTAGTATCTCCTGCAGAATTTTCCCAGAGATTGATGTCTCTCCCTCTCTCTCTCTCTCCCTCTCTCTCTCTGATTTATAAGCTGCCTGATTAGCCATAGGCTTTCTGGGCAGCTTATATACAATCAAGGAACAAAATACAAGAATATAATTCTGAGCATTCTTCTGCCAATTCCTTCAGGCCTCTAGGATGGAATTTATCCAGCCCTGGAGTTTTGAACACATTCAACTCAGTGAGATGATCCTTCACCATTTGCCTATCATAGTCTCATCGGATAGTAGAGTTGGAAGGGGCCATGAAGGCCATCGGGTCCACCCTCCTGCTGCTGCAGGACACCACTTTACTCTATCCCACTCAGATGGCTGTCCAGTTACTTTCTGAATGTCTCCAGTGTGGGAGAGCCCCCACCTCTCTAGGTAGCTGGTTCCACTGTTGTATTGCTCTGACAGTGAGGAAGCTTTTCCTGATATCTAGCCTGAATCTGGGCTGCTGCAACTTGAATTGATTACTTTGTGCCCTGCACTCCTGTACCAGCAGGAATAGATCTTGACCTTCCTTTTCGGAACAGCCTTTGAGGTTCTCCAACCACTGTTCCTTTTATTCCTTGCTTCATTTAAATTAACCCAGATGCTCTCAGTGTCATCAACTGACATGGAAGAAGGGGTGAACAGTCTGCTGATCAAATCTGCAGACAATACTAAAGCTGGGTCAGTGGCCACAACTGTGGAGCAGGTACTCCAGATCCAAAAGGATCTGGACAGACTATGGAAATGGGGAGGAGACAACAGGATGGTGTTCAATGTGGATAAGTGCAAGTTCTTGCACTTGGGGCATAGGAACAGGTGTCATAAGTACAGGTTTGGGGATAAGTGGCTGGAGAGCACTTGTGAAAGGGATCTTGGGGTGCTCTAGAGGTCACCAACACAGTTGTACCAGAAAATGGGAGTATGTTACAAGGAAGGAAAAAAGGGAGAAAACTAAGAGGGGGAAAACGTCTCCAAGACCACAGCATCCTAATTTGTCCCCATCACAAGAGAAATGTATTATCCTATAATCTGAGTCCTTATATATTTGCCATGGGAAGGGTAGATTTCGTTCTGTATCTTCCAGGGATGGTCACATCTCGACTGTACCCTGCAGTACGCAGGGGTACCTTGCCTCACGAACAAAATCTGTTCCAGGACTCTGGTTGTGACCCAAACTGGTCGTGAGACACGTTAAATTTCCCCATAAAGTTCAATGTAAATAAGGTTAATCTGTTCTGTAACTATTTTTTTAATCAGTAAAATGTGAAGCAAAGTGACAAAGAACAACAAAGATCGCGGCCATCTCCCCCCCCACCCTGAGTGAAGCCATCTCCTCGCGTCCATCATCCCTGCATGCACCCGTCATCCCGGCGCTCGGGGTGGCGGGGGAAGATGGCTGAGATCGCGGTTGCACTCATGCAGAAAAAATGGGCTCAATCACAAGCACGCTCCTACAGGAAAGACGGGTGCGATCTCGGCCATCTCTCCCCCCCGCCACCAGCACGATTGCGGCCATCTCTCCACTTGGGGTGGGGGCGGGTGGAGAGATGGCCATGATCGCAGCCGCCACCCAATACGGAGTTCGCGACCTAAGTCAATTTTTTAATGAAATTTGTGTTTGCGACCCGATTTGGTCGTGAACTGAGGCGTTCGTGAGCTGAGGTACCACTGTATATACAGGCTACTGGGGAAGCTCATGATTGTCCCAAATGCCATGAACTTCTGTGATGCATCAGTAGATGCCTCTATGTGGGTAGTGAATCCAACTGATAATGTTGGTAAACTTCAGCATTCTCTAGGAGCCCAGCTGGCAGGTTATAGCTGCAGGGGGTGCAGAAAGACTTCTGGGCCCTACCATAAACTTCATTATCACACTCCATTCATATCCCACCAATTTTCCTCTTGCCAGAAATCCATAACCTTACATAGCCTTGCTCTCCCCTTTTCTTCACAGCAACCCAATGAGGTAAGTTAAAGCAAGAAGCAGAGACTGACCCAAAGTCACCACTGAGCTTCATGGCTGAGGGAGGACTAGATGTCTCAAATCCCATTTCAACTGTCTAACCACTACGCCGTACTGGTCTTGTTGGGTATGAAACAGAGCTTAAGAGTCCTGGAAGGGCCTTGCAGGCACAGAAAGGACAAGACTGCAAAATCAGATATATCTGTACTTCTTCCATGCTGATCTAGTGTGGACTCCTTCCAAGAAATGGGGCAGGGGAAGCGTCAGGGTCTGACAGTTTTCCATCATTATTTAGCTATATAAGCACTTGTAGGATCAGGATTCTGAAAATTAGAGGTGTAAAGCTATTGGGAGAAGGAGTTCCCAAAGAGCTGAAAGTACAGAATACATTGCTAACCCTGTACTGAATCCAAAATGATGGGATGTGGAAAAGCAGTTCAGCTCACCAGATACTACCAAGGATTTGTGCCAGAACTTGCAAGCAGTTCAAATGTCACATTAGAGACAAGAAAAGGCAGGCCTCCCCAGTCCCTCACTTACGTGTTTTTGCACTTAGAACATTCATAGGTGAACTTATATTTGATCTCATAGTTGTGGCACCGTGATACCACTGGGAGCTCTGGATGGATCATGGAAGACTTCTTGGCATAGAAACTCCAAAATCGGCCATGGCCATCTTGAAGGCCATGAATGAGCCATGTAGCTGCATGACACAGTTCATGTATCATCGTGTCCCGAAGCCGATCTAAGCAAGAGACAAAGAAAGGAGAAAAATTAGGAGTCCTGGAACAATGAGATTTATGTTCCCCATTCAAACATAGGCACACATGCGCCAGGCTAAAACATTTGAGGGAATAATCATAGTAGAGTTAGAAGGGGCCAGAGGGTCCAAGTTAAACCATCACTCTCAAATGGCTGCCCAGGTGCCTCTTCAATGCCTTTAGAGAGGGAGCACCTACAACCTCCCTAGGTCCCTTGTTGCATTGCTCTGACAGTCAGGACATTTTTCTTGGGAATCTTGCCAACATTTGACTTCCTGTAATTTGAGGAGAGGCAATGCCAGCACAGGTTTCCTGTGTGATGTCATGATTCTGCTCTAGATCATAAGGGAGTCCAGTTTATGCATGACGGAAGGACACTCTGAGCAATACAAATATAATGGAAGAGGATGATATTGGTGCAGGAGGAAGAAGAGAGGAAACAGCTCATGCTCTAATCCCTGGGAGGCAACAGGCAGAGGAAATAATTTCCAGGGGAACATCATTTTGGCTGCACTAGATTAACCCAATGCATCGTGCATGTGACACCTTAAAGATTAAGAAGTTAATCTTGGCATAAGCTTTCCTAGACTAGGAATGCATGGAATAGTCAACTGATCATCATGCATGCAAGTGTATGACAGAACACAGGTGACAGAAGGCTCCTTTGACATGCGGAAAAGACACTCAAGTTGTATTAAGTTTGTAGCCATTTTCAAAGTTTGCCTAAAATCAAAAGCTACCATCCACATAGACCTTGAAAAAACACAGAAAAAAAAAAACTAAGACGAGAAACCCCAGTAATCAGTGTTTTTCAGGAGATTACCACAAAATTATTTAGCTTATTTTCTGAAAATCCGAATAGCTTTAGATTATGAAATATCATCTTTTAGAATTTAGGACAAGGGGTTTATATCACAAAGTAGCAGAGTTAAAAGGTGCCAGAAGGCCTTTGGGTGCAACCCGCTGCTCAGTGCAGGACTCCAAGTTAAACCATCCCTCTCAAATGGCTGCCCAGTTGCATTTTGAATGCCGCCAGTGTGGAAGAACCCACAACGTCCATAGGTCATTGTTGTACAGTCAGGAATATTTTCCTGACATCTAGCCAGAATCTGGCTTCCTGTAATTTGAGCCCATTTTTCTGTGTCCTGCTCTCTGAGGTGATAGAGAGAATCGATCCTGTCCTTCCTCTTTGTGACAGCCTGTTGAGTACTTGTACAGTGCTATCCTATCTCCCTTACCTCTTATTATCATCTCTTCTTAAGACTAAACATGCCCAGTTCTTTAAATTTCTCCTCATAGGACTTTTTTTCCAGCCCCTGCATCATCCTTGTTGCCCTCCCCTGAACCCTTTCCAGCTTCTTTGCATCTTTCTTCAACTATGGTGACTAGAACTGGACACCGTACTCCAGACAAGGGCCAGCCTATGCTGGGTAAAGGGGACCTAGTACTTCATGTGATTTAAAACTGATCCTTCTATGAATGCAGCCTAAACAGTCTGGATACGTCAATTGGTCCAGAATAGAGCAGCCAGAAAGATGACGGGGACTGGCAGGCATGCACATACAACACCAGTCCACTACCACCTTCTGCCATCTGGCTGCCAATTGAAGTCCGAGCCCAAGGTATGGTGCTGGTGATGACCTATGAAGCCCTGAAGGGCTTAGGACCTTATTAGCCAAGGAGCGTCTCTTCCCTATGTGACTTCCTACCCCTTAAGATCTGGTGCAGAGGTCCTGGTTCGGGAGCCATCCTTGAAGATTGGGAGGGTGGCAACCCAGAGCAGTGCCTTCTCAGCGGTGGTGCCCCAGCTGTGGAATGTGTTCCCCAGAGAGGTTCACCTGGCACTGACTCTGTATTCCTTTCAGCACCAGGCTAAAACCTTCTTATTTACCCTTTATTTTAAGGTGGATTAGGTTTTAATGTGGGTTTAATTCAATGGATGTATTGAATCCTATGCTTTATTTTAACCTGTTTTCATTGTAAGACAATCCCAAGACTGTTGTAGTTGGACGGTACAGAAAGGTTTTAAATAAATAAATACTGAGATAGAGTCTGATTGGGGCGGGGGGGAGGAGGGCTAGGCATGAACTGGGTCCTGCTTCCTGCACTGCCCTGCAGCAGTATTCATCACAAAGACCTGCCTATGAAGAGGCACCTGCTCCAGTGGAAGGACTACCAAGATCCTTCAGTGTTCTTAGTCCTGCAAGACTCCACCAAGCATTCCTGCAGATTAAGTGACTGGGAAAAGTCAACTCAACCTACATGAGCCATTCTCTTTTCTGGAATGTGTATCCTGTTCTCAGTCCAAGATAAAGAGGAATACCGGAAAAGCATTGGCCAAGACACCCACCAGTGGCTGCCAGCAAGATGTGGAAGAAGACTGCTTAACACTGATGTCCTTTCCCCACTTACCTGCAGAGTCACAGACTTTTTCTGACAGCATTATCTTGGCATAGCGTTGCCCTGCAGGGTCCTTCACCTGGCCAGTTATGCAGCAACCTGCTGTTTTCCGCATTTTCTTATTCCAAATTATTTCCATTCTCTGTGGCAACTGAGGGAAGTAGAGGAGAGTACATGACCAGCCACTGACATCCTTCCTAGTTAGAACAGAGAGCAGCGGGAACAGGCTTCTGTGGTTGCAGTGAGGCTGCTAAAGGGGAAGACTGGGCCCGTTTTAACTTCACTGTGTGGCTTTGCTCACTGCTGCCCAAGGGCAGTTGTAGGTAAGGCTGACTCTGCTCCTTTCACAAAGAGAAACCAGAGCACAGCATGGACTGCACGTGCTACACTGTCCTCGGGCAACAGGACTCTGCAAGGAAGCACCACACCGTCATTGCTTAAGGCACCACAAGCACATCTGGGCACTTGCCCAGCAACCACCCCCTAGCAGGGGATCGCTGAGAACAGCCCCCTGGGATCAATCCTCCTCCAAAGAAGAGCTTATATCTTTGAGTGCCCCTACTCCCTGGGTTGAGATTCCCCAGCAGAATCGTGTGTTTCAGCTTAGCTGATGCTCTACAATGCTCATCTGTAGCTCAGAGACTGGGTTGCCAAGATCTTCATTGCCAGCTACCTGAACAGTTTACCAGTCAATAGGAGTGCTACGTGGAGACCTTGGCTTTGAGATGAAGCCTGCCAGAGCAGAGACAATAGAAATGGATGGCCTACAAATTTTTAATAAATATATAAATAAATTTGCGGCAGGCGCAGAATGGAGGCTCCTTCCCCTGAGTCAGTATTGTCCAGCTGAGGGACCACTGTGGGAAGACCACAACAAAGGGAGACTCATTGATGGAGGACGGTCACCGAGGACGACCTCCTCAAGCAGCCTTAAAAACCTTGACCTAGCACCTGTTGTAACCCTACAGCCTGTGTCCCGACACTGGGACCAGTGTTCCCAGTTTCTTTTCTCACTAGAAATAAAACAAAATATCCCTAACCAGACTTTCATTCCAAGAGCTACAGTTTCTTTGACACAGGAACGCAGGCAAAACCCAAGCAGGACACCTACTCAGACCAAGGCAGGGACCTCCAGACACTGGTGCCCTTGACACAGAGAATCAAGCAAAGAACCAGCTACCAAGCACTTCCCTTTCATACACAACTCTCTGTATGGCCAGCAAAAGCCCAGCTCAAGAGAAATTGATCGTAACCCTTTCCTCCCCCAAACTCTCAATGGAGAAGGAAAAGGGCAATTTATCCCAAATCCTGTGGGGCTTTGGTAGAGGAGAAGGTCAGGAGTGACTCGTCCCTTCTTCAAAAGCCCAGCTCCAGAGCCCTTACCTGATTCCTCTGCACAAGCCACAGAATGAGGCAGGAGCAGGTGCACAGCTGTGAGCAACCATACATGGGGAGAGGTGATAAAGGGAAAACCCCCACTGAAATACACTACCTTTTGTTCAAACACAGAGCGGTTATAAAGATCATACAGGTTCTGTGCCAGTTCCTCCTTTTTACTCCAGAAATGCTTGGATTGCTGAGATTCTGGGTCCGACAACTCTTTCAAGAAGCAGCCCTTGACCTGGCACAAACCTCTGAAAAGACACGCAAAGCACAGAAGCAGCTGTGACTTTGTAAGGAATGTAGCACCCAGCCCCCAGGCACAAAGAAGGACACCCAAGTCTGCTAATAGGGAACTGCATCACACAATGTGGAAGGAGGCAATTGTGCTTGCATTAGAAAGCAAGGGCAGCTGTGAAATACTCCCCAAACCCCCACCTTCCACTTGCTCTGCACACAGAGCAGAAAGCCCAGTGCCTAACAAGACACAGAAAGGAACCCACGAGGGATGGGAATTCTTGGGGGGAAAGGATTCTCCGAGCACAACTGCAAGCAATTCCAACAAGAAAAAAATGTAGAAGCCAACAGAGGAAGGCCATGTGGCTCCACAGCAGGGTCAGGCCACAAAGGAAGAATATAAACTAACAGTGAGTGCTTGCTATTTGGAACCCAGCGCCTCTTTGCCAGCCTCAGGGCCGCCACCAGCACCAGCTTTCAAGGCTAATCCCTGCACTGCCGGCACACCTCTCCCTACACCTTATGTCCTGTCCGTTTCCACACTCTTCTCTCATGCCTCTCTCCTTTCTCCTCCTTAACCTTTCCCTGTCTCTCCTTCATCCGCTTTGCCCACATTGTCCTCCCTACCCTCGTCCAGGGGTTGCTCATTGAGCTCAATCTGCGCCACAGTGGGCAGTGCATTCCTCTGGCTGCAGTCCACACACCACCCTGCGGAGTCCCTCCTGGGAGCAGGAACTCCTTCCCTCATCAGTGCTGCTTCCCTTTCTCTTATCTGCTCGCTGGATGCCAAGAGGGAAGCAGCAAGCCCTGGGGACCTCTCGTACGAGGAAATGCAAGGTCAGGATATGGAAGGCTAAAATAGGAAATAAACCGAGACTAGCAAGGGATGCTAACAACAACAACAAAGCATTCTTCAGGCATGTCCAAAACAAAAGACACATGAAAGTGAAAGGTGTCCAGCTACTTAAAGTGGATGGCAGAGTGACATTAGATGACAGGGGAAAATCAGAGGTCCTCCAATCCTACTTCGCCTCAGTTTTCTCCCACAAGAAGATCTGCAAGAGGAAGCACAAGCTAAAAGTGAGGGAGGCAGCCCAAGATCAACAGAGAAATGGCCAAGGAATATCTAAATGGAATAAGCATGTTCAAATCTCCAGGGCCTGATGAACTTCATCCCAGAGTCATAAAAGAACCAGCAAAGGAACTCTTAGAACCACTGTCTATGATCTTCAATAAATCCTGGAAAACAGGAGAAGTGTCAAATGACTGGAGAAGGGCTAACATTGTCCCCATCTCCAAAAAAAAAGGGAGTGGGGGAAATGACTCTGTCAGTTAGTTTGACATCAATCCCCGGAAAAATTATGGGGAAAATTGTTAAAAAATCAGTCTGTAAGCACTTCAAAGAAAATGCAGTGATTAATAAAAGCCAACATGGATTTATCAAGAAAAAATCCTGTCAGACTAATTTAATTTAATTTTAGATAGGGTAACCTCCCAAATGGACAGTGGAAATACTGTGGACATAACCTACCTCAACTTTAGCAAAGCTTTTGACATAGTTCCCCACATAGGAAAATAAGCACAGACACTTGTATAGCATCAGGGCATAGAATAAATGATAGTTCTGCCTTCATCTGAGGTTCCTCAGCCCTTCTCCACTGTATAAACAGGGCTTTTGAGGAGAGACAGATTCTTTGCAGGCAAATGTAGAAAATTCATTCAATTTTTATTTCTGTCTCAAGCATAAAAGGTGTGTGGGTGGGCATGTTCCTTTTTTCTTAAAAAAAGACTTCTATTCAATTTTAAGGAATTGCCTGAAAGTGTGGAAATCACTGCCTCTTAATGTCAAGGTAGTCCCTTTCCCCAGCTCATACCAAATTTGTGTAGACATTAAATGAAGCCATTTAAACAACAAACTTTAAAAGAGCGATTTGAGGAAACCAATAAATTTTAATTCCTCATTTCTGGAAGGTGCTTGCAACTTTGGAGTCTCTTAGATTAGCATTCCTTCTTTCCAAGCCAGTGCCTGTGCCCAGGCTCATTTCACCCGACGCATACATCCTAGTAGATTCTCAGCTTGACTACCACTGTCATCGAGTATAAAAGTAGCAGACATCATTGATGAGAATGAATTGGTCTAGTCTACACGATGCCCCATTGTGGATAACGAGATGTGAGGGGTGGGGGCTGGCATGCGGTATGAGCCTAGACCTCTTTCGGAAGGGTGTTTTGTGTGTGGGCATTAAGCCCTCCTGACAAACTATAGATTCTTTGGTTCCCCTGTCCGCTGAATGCAGGGCACTGACTCCCATGGTGTCTGGGAAGCAGCACGCAAGCCCCTCAGCCAGAGTGACAAAAGGCCCCGGCCACGCTTGCCCAGCTCACCCATCCTTGCCCAACCCAAACTGCCAACAAACGATAGCACCAAGCAGAGCTTTGAGGAAAGCAGGTTAAACTCTGAAGCTTCAGGAAGGCATCTTGAGCACCTGGAGGCCAGACAGTTTTTGCATCCATCATACCAGTATTCAGAAGAGGCATAGAAAGAGAGACAGAAATATATAGGGTGAACACCTAGCTAAGAGGTGGCACTAATCCAAGATATTTGGATGGTGAGACAATAGACTATACTTCCTAGAAAATGGAATTCTGGCAAGGGAGGGGATGCACAACACAAGGACTGGGAAGAATATGTTTAGCCATGAATGTGTTTTGCCTCATCAGGAGAGCAAAGAGTATATTTGGGGGACAAAAAATTGTGTACCACACCAGCGAGGGCCCAATGACAGACGTCCAAAAATGTAGGAAGAAAGCTAGGCTATAAAGCACACGATATTAGATGGCTAAATACTCATGACAAGAATATGGAAATCAGCCTAAATTCAAACTCGCAGTACTCTATGTTACTGATCACTTCCTCCTACAAAAAGTGGAAGAAGGAATTAGAGGACTGGCTGTTCCTGACGTGGGATGACTTAATGGCAGTTACTGGAATCCTCAGGGAGAGCAACTATGTCAAGCTTGAATTTTTAATTTTAAAGGCAGCAAAAGCCAAGTGCATCCAAACATACAGCTTGGGTATTAAGCAGGCTAATTTTAATAAACTCAGAACAGTGATAAGCAAAGACCGATGGCAAGTGCCTGTAATGAAAAAAGCAATCCAAGATGTGTGGGAATTTTAGAAAAGGGAATTCCAAAGTTGCAATTACAAATGTTATTCATTGCTATCTTTTTGGCACTGGGCAAAAATGTTTTTATTTACCAGACATTTTAAGAATTGCTGAATTAATATTTTATATTACTAAGGCATTTTAATGAGTGTTATCACTGCTGTGCTGGAGGTAAATTTAATTGAGTGTTGTAAGTATATTGTATTCTATTGTATTTTACTTTATGAATCTCTAGTGTATGACTTTTTATCATATGAATTTTATTGTAATATATTTGTTTTGGATTGTACAGTGCCCAGAGAGCCCTAACAGGCTAAAAGAGCAGTTTATAAATGTAACAAATAGATAAATAAATAAACATGTTTCCTACAAGGAAAAAAGATAGAAGACAACAGAAGAAGTTGGTGTGGCTTCACAAAAAATCTTAGAGATGATCTGAAAACAACAAAGCACAGTTATAAGAAGTGGAAGGACAGCCGGGTCTCAAAAGATGAGTACAAGCAAGAGGCAGAGAATTGTAGGGGTAGCCTCAGGAAGGCTAAAACTGCCAATGGGCTGAGCTTAGCGAGGGTTGCCAGCAGAATAGTAAAAAACAGGAAAGAAATGGTGCTTCAGCTGCTTGGTGAGAATAGCAAAATGATCACAGATTTTTTTTACAAAAAGCAGCCTACTATGGCTGTCTTCTGAGCCCAGTAGAGGTTTTATGACCTCCCTGGCAAATATGAAGTACAAGCTGAGCTGGCAGTATTGCAGGATGAGATGGACAGACAAATAGTCAAAGAACAACTTAGACTGGAGGAGGACTGATGCTGCCCGTGTCTTCAAAAAGAGAAAAAGAGGGAATGACAGCCCAGTCAGGCAGACATCAGCCCTTGGGAAAATTCTGGAGCAGTTGAGAAAGCAGTTAATCTGCTTGAAAACAATGCATGGATTACTCCTAACCAACACAGATATGTGCAGACGGGGCCTTCAAATTGTCCTGGATGGGGCTGCATTCTCCCTGAAGGACAAGTGTCGTGAGGGGCAGCCCAGTATGTAAACTTTCCACACATTCTAGAGCAATAAAACTAAAGTCCTTTAATGCTAATTGTCTACAAGATTTACAATTCTACAGATAAGTTCCCTAATAGCGGTCCTTGCTAAGCAGAAGTCAGCCCTATAATGGCTCCTCTTCCTGAGCCCACGTGGGATCGTTCTCCCAAGTCACGCCTTTCCTCCCTCTTACGCAGTCTACTTTGTAGCTGTTCAAATCGGCGTAAAATACGTCTGCTCTGGGCTCTTGAAAAATCCACGACACCTATTGTGTCTTCTGTTTCTGGCTCAGGGAGATCAGCATCGGGGGGAAGATGCAGTTTGCTCTGCCTCCTTCTGAGCAGAACTTGCAGCTTCCTCTTTCTCATGACTCTGACTCTGATAAAGGTCCAGGCGTTTGCTCAACGTGCTGGGGCTCAGAGGAAGACGCAGTAGCTGGCTCAGCCGTCCCTGCATTGGGTTGTGGGGTCGACTCTTGGGCACTGGGTGCCAAGTGCAAAGTCTCCTCGTGAGTCACTGTTTCTGTCGGAGCTTCATGCACGACAACAAGCTTCACCGTTTGGGGGTGCTCCTGGATCCAAAACTGCGTCTCAGGTAGACTCAGTGATCAGCAATGCCTTCTTTCAGCTACAATTAATTTACCAACTTCAGCCCTACCTGGACTGACACAGCCTAACCACAGTCATCCATGCTCTGGTAACTTCTTAACTGGACTAGTGTAATGTGCTTTACGTGGGGCAGCCCTTGAAGATGGTCCAGAAAGTTTAGCTGGTGCAAAATACGGCAGTGCGGCTGCTGGTGTGAGCAAGTTCAGGCACCACATCACTCCAATGCTTCATCAACTGCACTAGCTTCCAGTTGAGCTCCAGGCCCAATTTATTTATTTTTTTGGAATAAGTTTTATTCTTAATAAAGCTAACAAAAAAGGAACTAAAAAGTCATCAAGCATCAAAAACATCAGACCTACTGGGTCAGCCCCCCACATTTTTTTCTTTTTATGTTAAACTATAAACATATTTAAATCTATGCATAGTTCCATTTCTCTAGCCAATAATAAAGAGTCCCAGGTTTCCTCCAGGCCCAATTTAAGCTGCATCTTGTCAAGATGCAGCTGGACAACTATCTGTTAGAGACACTTTAACGTGGAATCCCCCAGCAAGCAGGGATCTGGACCTCATGGCCTTTTTGGCCCCTTTCAACTCTACCGCTCTATGGGAGGATGATCTCTCCCATGCTTTGGCCAATGTAAGCAGCACTCTGTCCCTCCCGGAAGCAAATCTTCCATGTTTACTGGCCAACCCAGTGGGAGGAAGAGGGATATTATCTCATTTGCAATTGTGCAACATAGTTGATAGTGTTGAAGATGGAGGTCCAAAGCTGCTGGGTGAGCTCGGGCTGGCCGTTCTTCCTCAGCTCAATTTGCCTCGCAGTGAAGTTGTGAAAACAAATGGGAGGGAGAGCCGGGTATGCCAACCTGAGCTCACTGGGGAAAAGGCAGGATAAAAATAATGAATGCATTTTAAAAGCACCCTGGGTGTTTTCCAGAATGGTGACATCCCAAAGGGCAGAAAGACCTCCATTTACCATCAAGGAGGAGGTAGCTGGGCTTGAAATACTAAGGCCAAATCCTTTGAAAACAGGCAAAGCAGAAGAGGGAGAAGGGGACAACAAGGACTCACCTGATCTGGCCTACGTCAACAAGCACCTTGCCCTTGGGAAGCTGAGTAGAAATGGATCTATCAGGGACAGGTCTGGCTTGTGTCAGACAGCCATTCTCACTCTTCACAGCCGGATGGAAGTTTTCAAGGAAAGGCCGGACGTTTCTTTGTTCTGCCAGCCACAAACCAAATGTTCAGCACAGGCAGACTGAACCCCAATTCAAACCATAAGTACCAAACCAAAAGTTAGACGGCTGGGCCGCAAAATGTGAGCTCAGGATGGCTTGGCAACTGAAGCTGTCAGGCTCAGTGACCAAAGCAATTGACAAATCCATCCCATTCCCCTGATCCAGGGATGAGGATTATTTATTTATTTAAAAGAATGGGTGTGGCCCCCTAGATGTTGCTGACTACAGTTCCTATCATGTCTTCTATTAGCTATGTCGAAAGAGCAGGCCAAGGCCTTCTGGAGGGCCACGCCCACTTTCCCACCCTCAGTAAGGGAGCACAAGAACTGGCTGGGAAAACCGCCTTGCCGGAGAGATCTACGGTCAAGCCCAGCACCTTCCTCCAGCAAGAAGCTGCCAAGGAGGGCAAAAAGGCTGACGCCCCGCCCTGCTGCTGTCCCCTTGAAGCTGGGCTTCAGAGGGGCACTAGCCCTGAATTTGGAGTGTCTACTGAGCTGTCAGCAAGAGCTGCTAGCAGAGCTCTGCTCCTCTGCAAATCGGCCTTCTCCTCTTTGAAAACCACCTAAGCCAGCAGTCCTACTGTATCTTGTGCAAGGAACGCTGTGTCATTGCCATCAGATTCACTGGGAGCCTCCAATCTTGCATCATGGTAGAGGGAAGGAGGAGGCATACCTCTCTGAGCACTTTCTCTGCACCAGGCAGTTTCAGAGCTAAAAAAAACAGTGTTTTTTGTTCCAGTGTATCAGTTCCATTAATTTAGTGAACCTGTAACTTTTTCTTTCCTGCCACACACACTTAAGGCAACACTGCTCATTATGGCGTGTTCACAAGCCTACAATATTTGTGTCCAGAGAGCCCTCAGGCTATGGGACAGCATACGAACATAACAGATACATAAATAACCACATAATGTGTGGGGAGCTGCTGCCTCTATATGCAGGCTGTGTCCAGCTTACCCAACAAGCATTAAAAAAATTCAGTGGACTCTAAGAAACAAGGAACTCTCTAGCTCCCTCCTGGCACAACATTAACTTGAAGATAAGCTGTCTTAACTTACCAGGGGTAGTCTTTTGGGCAGAGGAACTCTTCCTTGCAGGAAAGAGCCCTCTCCGCTGTATGCGCACAAGGAGCCCATCCATCTCCTCATCCGAGCTGCCTGATTCCAGCGTGCCACATGATCTGGGCTGACAGGGGCCACGTACTGTGCCCTCAACATGTTCCTGTGAGGGGGCTTGCTTTCCCTCGCTTGGAGAAGAATCTGTGCCATCCCTGAGAGCAGCAGGCGGAAAGGTCATCAACGCGCACTGCTGATCACTCAGCTGCCTGGGCTGATGCGAGTTCCTTGGTGTACCTTGAGCGAAGACTGAATCATCATCACTGTCACTAAATGCGGCTGGAGACAGAAATGTTAATGAGCGGGCAACTTCCTTTCCAGGCATTTCAGCCACTTCATGCTTGTAAACCAGCCTTGGTTCTGCAAGACAATGCATGTTCAAAATTAGGGTTAAGTAAAATTAAATCTCAAAAAATTAGCAAGTTGAAGTCAAGCCGTGCAACCACATAATGGATACTTTATTTAGATGGTGCCCCAAGAATGCTGTTCCTCCAAACTCCTGCAGCATTCCACAAATAGGCATCATGCAAATAAACATAATGGAAGTGTCTAAATCTCAGCAACCCTGTGGAAGCACGGAGGGCCATCAACTGCTCCCAGTTCGGTGGCCTGGAACACTGCATCTTACAGTTGGGGCTGACTCCTTGGACAAGCCCAAGGGAACTGAGCTCAGACAGAGTAACATATAGGTAAGGAGGGATTAGGGCACCTACAACAACTGCACACTTCTGGTTTGGTAATAAGAGTGGGGGAGAAGCCACTTGCAACTGATGCAACCTTCAGGAGATTCCCCTTCCAGTGGATTAAGACAGGAACCTGTGTTACGGCAAGTCAGAGCACTGATTCCCTTTGCCCAATACCATCTCCCCTCTTAGTCACTTACCATTTTTGGTAGGTCCATACTTGCTTGTGAGATAGTGGAAAAAGTTTTCCTTAGAATTAGTCAGACTGGGAGGTAAAACACAAAACAGTTCTATTAAGGATAAAACTGGCTATTCTATTCACTGTTTTTGGGCAACACTCCCAAGGAAGGACGCATTTCAGTGAAAGGCTGTTCAGGCAAGCTAAAATTATTTATCGATGTCAGATTTTTTCATTGCAAGCAAAAGGAAGTATATCTATATAACAACATAAGAAAAACCATACTAGATGAGACCTAAGGTCCATGGCTGTCTTCTGCCTAACTGTATATGAAATCTGATACCAGCATGGTCACTGTTACCGAACAGCTCAACAACATTTACATCCTGTACTATGTCTTGAGCAACCCCACCTAGGACTAATCCAAGACTGCCTCCCCACTGGTTGGTTCCATGACCAACCGCTCTAAGGCACAGTCCTTTCTGGCATCGAGAAATTTAACGTCTGTCAGGACATGCATTTATCCAGTCAATAATGTGGGTAGGTAACATCCCCCATTATTGCAGCACTGTCTTTGCTGGATTTCATTTTCCTGATTTCATTTCCCATATCAAGATCATCCAAAGCATTCTGGCCTGGGGGATGATAATATACTCCTATAACTAAGTTAGCTTTGGAGCCAGGAATTTTCACCCATGGTGGAATCTTCACACTTTTATCAACTCTATGCCCTCCTTGTGAAAGAGGAGAGTGCAAAAGTTGGCTTGAAACTCAGCATTAAGAAAACTAAGGTCATGGCATCTGGTCCTATCACTTCCTGGCAAATAGATGGGGAAGAAATAGAGGTAGTGACAGATTTTATTTTCCTGGGCTCCAAGGTCACCACAGACGGTGACTGCAGCCAAGAAATTAAAAGACGCTTGCTCCTTGGGAGGAAAACTATGGCAAATCTAGACAGCTTACTAAAAAGCAGAGACATCACCCTGCCAACAAAAGTTCATATAGTCAAAGCTGCGGTTTTCCCAGTTGTAGTGCATGGCTGTGAGAGTTGGACTGTAAGGAAGGCTGAGTGCCCAAGAATTGATGCTTTTGAATTGTGCTGTTGGAGAAGACTCTTGTGAGTCCCTTGGACTGCAAATAGATCAAATCAGTCAATCCTAAAGGAAATCAACTCTGACTGCTCTTTAGAAGGTCAGGTACTAAAGCCGAAGCTCAAATACTTTGGTCACCTAATAAGAAGGAAGGACTCATTGGAAAAGACCCTGATGCTGGGAACAATTGAAGGCAAAAGGAGAAGGGGACGGCAGAGGTTGAGGTGACTGAATGGGGTCACTGGAGAGGTGGGTGTGGGGTTGGTGTACTCTGAGGGATGGTGGAGGACAGGAGAGCCTGGAGGGATGTTGTCCGTGGGGTCGCAGAGCTTTAGGCATGACTTTCCAACTGAACAAATGCCCTCCTTGATATAGAGGGCAACTTCTCCTCCAGGACGCCTTTCCCACTCTTTCCTATGCAGTTTATATCCAGAGATGACCATGTCCTATTGGGCATCTCCCCTCCACCAGGTTTTTGTAATGCCCACTATATCTAGTTTCTCCTTCATCATTCTCCGATTTTGGCCCAAAGGCTTCTAATATTGTCCCCTCCAGCTGAGTGCAACTATTGTTCTGGCACTTTATCCTCTTCAACTGGTTACCATGGCACACCATGACCTTGTTACTTACTCCCTCACCTCCTACATTTGGGCAATCTGAAACTTCCTTCCCTTCATCCACCAGGGATGATTTGGCCCAAACCAGATGCTTCCCAGCTCCAGCAGGGCTCAGTTGAAAAGCCACTCTGCCACTTTCTTGTGCTATGCACCAGCAATCTGGTTCCGTTCTAGTTCAAGTGGAACCTGTCCCTCCTATACAGGCCCAGCTTGTCCCAGAATGTTCCCCAGTGCCAAACACACATGAAACCCCCCTCCCTGCATCACTGTCACATCCACACATTGAGACTCCCCAGATGTACCTGTTTAGCTGGTCCTGCATGTAGAACTGGTAGCATTTCAGAGAAAACCATCTAAGGCATCCTGGAATTTAACTCTACCTAGCAACCTAAATTTGGTTTTCAGGACCTCACAACTACATTTTCCCACATAATTGGTAGCAGCATGGACCACGACTGCTTACTCTGCCCCTGCACCAACTACAACACTATCTAGATGGTGTGATATCCACAACCAGGCAGTCCACACGTCCATTGCAAACCCAGCTTTCTATGTTCCTAATGGTTGAATCTCCCACTACAAGAGGCTCCCCCAAGGGGCATCCTCCACGTAAGAGGATACATGCTTGCCTTCAAAGGAATGGGTCTGTTCCAAGGACCATTTCCCTCTTCCTCAGAATGATGCCCTCCTTCCTCAGATGCCCTTTCTCCATGACCCAGGAGTTGGAACCCTGTTAATTAATCCCAGGGGTCGTGTCTATATTTCTTTGCTTCTCCAGGTCAGCAAGCTTGGCTTCAAGAGAACAAATATGCTCCCTGAAAGCTCATGACATCAAGCACACACCCATGCCTTCTGTCCAGCTGGCAGATAGTCGTAGCTGTGGCACTCAATGCAATACACTGAACGGCCTTTGTACGCCTGCTGGCTTTGGTCTAAATCGAAGATTTATTGGTCGTATATATAAGTAGGCCAGGAGAAACTATTCCAGAAGTAAAGCTTTAGATTAGCTAGACTATATTGTTTAAATCATAACACATTACTTATTATTATTCCTAATTAAGTATTTTGAGTTCTGCTACTTCTGAAAAACATTTTCAGATACTTATACAAAACATAAAATCAACATGGTATAGTTTCTTAACTAAGTACAAGTCAAATACATTTGCTAGATTGGTATTCCATCGGTTCGGGAAAGTGGAATTTTTTTCCAGTTCACCACTTGAAAATCTGCATCATTCTAAAGACTAACACAGCAAACGCCATTACATACCTGCGCATTTGACTCCTTGGTGTGCAACATGTTGAAGCTTTGGGGGTCTTCATTTTAGATAAAACTAAGTAAAACAATGAAAGGGAGAAACTCATTATTCTTTTCCTGAAAGCAATTCTCCCAATTTCTACAAACATGCCAACTAGAAAACAAATCAACATTAAAAGCTTCCAAAGTTTAAAGCGTAAAGCTGCTTAATAGCAGATAGGCAACTTCAGTTGTAGTCTCAAAGGAGAAATTTCAGTGGATGACCCAACCTTCCCCTGAAGAATGTCATTTTATTGTTTTTAAACAGCTCTCTTGGCCATGCACAAGTCTCCACCGGGAACATCGCGTGCATAGATGGTGGATTTATACAGACTTAGATTCTTATGGCACCACATTTGATGCTTTACAGGAATTGGGGGGGGGGTCACATTAACCACCAACCAAAACTGAGTCAGAGTCACGCAGAAGGCTCTTCATGCCTCGTGGGTCCCAACAGCCCCTGCTGCTTCTCTGTAGTTATGAAGCAGCCTCAGCTTAGTACTAGCTTCTTTGATGAATTAAAATCCTACAGTGTCCTAAACATGACCAGAAGGTCTTCCAGTCTACCCCTCTGGGGCGCACGCATTTTCCAAATTCCAACAGTATTAGAGGAGAGCTGGCGGTAGTAGCAACTGAGAATAGTGAGGGACACTGTGCAAGCAAGAGTTAGGAGCATGGCAGGTGGAACATGAGAGGATAAACGAAGCAGCGCAAGCCCAGGATCGCCTGAGCAAGTGGGCCAAGGGCTACTGGTGGAGCCACACAGCACCGAAGTGCTTCGAGATCACACAGTGAGGGCTGACGGAAAGCACACACATTTGCACTACAGCCCCCGCCATGCTGATTTATCTGGCCCACGCCACTGTCCGTGTGCACGCGGGCTGCTTGCTCACTCGGAGATGGTTTTGGACTCATTAGGAGATCTCCAAGCAAGCAAGCCACCGCCACCACCCGCACGCGTGAGCCCAACACCGCCTCGCATGCGCCCAACGATGCCTCACCGGCCCGCGTGCCCAGGCCGCCCCCTCTCACCGGCCCATGCCGGGTCACCACTGCCTTTCAACTGGCCCCCTATTGAAAAAGTTTGAGGACCCCTGGTCTACAGCCCCTTTGTGTGTGCTGACACTGAAAGCAACGAATCGCACTGGGGGGGAGACGGTTCCCTCTCCTTTCATGTGCTCTTTAACGGCAACATAAAACTGCCACAAGGAGCAGTTTATGGAGCAGAGGGAGTGCAGCGGGCTCCAACACTCTTGCTCACTCGTTCTTTCTCCGCACTTTTCTACCCAATGTGTGGCTTTGGATTCCCTGGGCAGGTGACCTCGCCAAGGGAGAAATAAGGGTGGCTTATAGCTAATGGGGCAGGATAAAAATCTAATAAATAGACTGGGCAAGGCCTAATGAAATTGAAGCTCAGTCCAGAAGAGGTGGAGGTGCTCCTGGTTAATTCCCACCCCCTTCTTCCAACTGGTAAGTATAAGGGCTTGCTGTTTGGGGATGTTTACACAGCCAGCACTCGTGTGGCATCTACAGAATCGTTCCTCAGATGAGGTTGCAGGGGCAGCTGCATCCCACATGGAGAGATTATACTGCACTGTTTTCTGCACTCTCACCAACATCTATGCTAGACTGTTGTAGTGCATTGAGTGGGGCTGTCTCTGAACACCATTTGGAAGCTTCAGCTAGCACAGAGCAACTACTGTGTGCTAATTGTGTAACTACTGCCTTTAACCCAGAAGTAAGAGCGCGTCAGAGGATTCTGGGACCAATGCAAAGGACTGATGATAACTGAGAAATTCCATAATGGCCTGCTGTTTCAAAAAGCACATTCTCCCCTACAAGCCTATTCATCAATTTAAAGCACCTTTTGAAGACATTTTCCAAGTGGCCCCAACTGTGCATTGCTTGGATGTACTGGAAAGGCCATTTCTGGGGTGATGTTATATGGGGTTACTTTCTCTCTACAACATGTGTGAGAAATCTTTGGTCCTTAGTCTAATTTTCTGCAGCTCTCAGGCTAAATCCAAAAGCTTTCAGCAAGCCAACAACTGAACAGCATTCTGATCCTCTAGGGAAGATGGTGAAGGAGGAGAAAGGATGGCAGAAGAAAGAGAGAGAGAGAGAGAGAGAGAGAGAGAGAGAGAGAGAGAGAGAGAGAAGAAGCCTGCCACCCTCAACTTACCTCACCCCGACGCATTCAGCCTGCAGCATCAAAATTGTACTTCAGGCACAAAAAATAAGTCTGCCCTTTTTCTCAGCTTTAAAATGATATTTAAGAGCCTTCTGCTGTTTTACTGATTCCTGTAAACCTAATTCCTATTATTTTATGATGCTTTACTTTTTGGTAAGCTGCTTTGTGGGGATTTAAAGTCAACATGTTGGATGAAAATAATCTCAGTCAACAGATACCTCTACCCTTACTAGACGCGCAACTGAACAAACTAGCAAGGAGCACAGCCTGGGGAAATTTTGGGGTGATATATCTTCTATGCTTATCTGACATCAGTCTCCCACTGGTTTTTCAGGGGCTTGGTTGGCAGGTGAATTACAAATATATTCTCCCCCATTCTCAAGGTGGCACTTTAGCTCCCACATATGAAAATGTTCAGAAAGAAAAATGCCCAGTGAAGAAATAGGTTAAACTGAAACTGCAAGTTTTTTTCCAGACTAGATGATTGTGGAAGGGCCTTGTGATTTTCAAACATTGTCAAGGCAGTGCTTATTCAGGTACTTTAGCAATAAAATACAACAGAACATCATAAAAAGCACCCAAATCAAGGAGACTTCAAGGGATCTTTGAAGACATGGCTGTCTAGCAGAGTTCATCTTTAGAAACTGTTGGATTTCATCTCCTGATAATCGTTTTCTATCAGGAACATATAATAAGGTTTCTGAGCAAATTCTGCTTGCCTGGTAACATAATAGAGGTCAACAACTATGGTGTGTATTACTGACCACCCAGTCAAAAAGAGGGCAAGGATGTGACCTACGAAAGGCAACTTGCCAGCATTTCCAAGAAGAGTGATGCATTCATCACGGGGGACGTCAATTTCCCTGATATATGCTGGGAGAGAAAGTCTGCCAAGCATGGCCCTCCAGGAGATTCCTGAGATGGAGTATAAAGGGCATGGCTAAACATGCATTCAGGAGGCTGGCAGAAGGAGCTCTGGATGGAGCGGTTCACTTGCTAAGTAAGCAATGCTTTTCTTATTTATGGGTTAGTCAGACTGATGATAATGAAATGATACTGTAAGCACTCTCATGTGTGAATTGTGTTAAGGGTATAGGATACAGCCAGTGACATCTGTACTTTAAAACTTAGATATAAAAGAAAACTGGTTAGTTAACTGTGCTGAAAGCATACATCTTAACCTGACAAACTGCCAGCATTGACTTCCTTTGTGGTTTTTATTCTTTGTCTATTAGCTCTCTTATAATAAGGTTCGACTTGCAAGTCAGCTAATCTCTGATTGTTCCTGGAACAGACACACGAGGAGAGTCCCAGCTCACCACTATTTTGACGGTGTCCCTAAGCCACACATGGGCTAGGCTGGGTCACCTCGAGGGCTGAAGAGGGGGAGCAGAGACTACCAACAGACATGCTTTTTAAGCTAATGACAGCTTTGAGCTATTAACCTTCAGCTCCACAAGCTGAAGTTATGAATTCACCTCTAGGGCTTCCCATCTCATTTTTGTCTTACAAAACAGGGCAATTCTTCCTTTTCTGCGATGAAATAAACTACCCCCCTTTTTTGGCTGGGGTGCTTAATTACCAACACCAAAGACGGAGGCACTTGTTAATATCAGGAAGCATTTTATTTGGGAAAGAGCTGTACCTCAACCAGAATGCACTTGCTTCGCATGCAGAAGATTTCAGGCTTAAGCCCTGCTATCTCCAAGCACAGCTGGAAAAGACTCTAATCTGAAAACCGGAAGAGCCCCTGCCAGTCCAGGGGACAATGCTGAGCTAGATAGGTCATTGTTACAGTTCAGGATAAGACAGCTTCCAATTTAGTATTTAGATACCAAATATCTATGTAGCTGCTCAGCATGAACTTTTCAAGTAACTAAAACAAATTTGAAATTCAACAGTTATGATAAGATTAAACATTAAAGATGTTCAAACGATGGCTTGGACTGGATCAAGTTGTGCTTAGACTAGCTACAATTAAATCAATGGAATATAAACAGGACATGACTAACTTAAGTCCCAGATTCTAGCAGGTCTATTCAAAGCATGACAAAGCCTGGATCTCACGCAATAAATAGAGAGGATGTGTTGTACTTCTTAGGCTGCACATTTGCAAGTAGACACTGTCTCAAATACAGTATGATGCCTTATATTAATTAAGGCCATTGGTACATCTGTCCCAATATTGCCAACATTGACCAACGGCAGCTGTCCAGGGCTTCAGACAAGGTTCCTCTCTACCCCTCACTGGAGGATCACGCAGGGGACCTTCCGCAGGCAAAGCATATGCACCTTTACCCTGAGCAACAACCATACCAGACACTCTGTGGCTTGTTATTTGACTTCTGTGAGCCATGCTGGGAGTAAAAATACTTTAACCATTCAATAAATATACTCAACAGTAAATGGAAGTATGTAGTAAGAAATGAAGAATAGAAAGGACGTAACTTCTCTATGGCTGTAGAAGTGAGCTTTACTTACACTTTTCAAATTCCTCATCACTATCTGAAGATGCTGAGCTGCAAAACAAACAACAGGACAAACATTGTAGCTAATCATTTAAGAGATCACATTTAAGAGATTAAAAATTAATGTGGGCCCATTGCACAGGATACAGCATTGAGTCCTATGTAGAGTAGACCCAGTGAAATGAATGAGCCTTAAGTGGCAATGGTTTACTCTATGTAGGACTAACACTGGGTATCACTTTATGCATGACAGGGAAGGAAGACCTTAAATCAGAATTCATCTCTGCAGTGGTATGTAGCAGGACATGCATTGCAATTTAACTTTTACAGTTTAGTGGTGCAGTGGTTTAAATCGCTGTGCTGCTGGGCTGGTTGATCAAAAGGTCGCTGGTTCAAATCTGCACAACGGGGTGAGTTCCCGTTGCTCCGTCCCAGCTCCTGCCAACCTTGCAGTTCGAAAGCGTGCAAATGTAAGTAGATAAAAAGGTACCATTTTGGTGGGCAGGTAACAGCGTTCTGTGCACCTCGGTGTTTAGTCATACCGGCCACATGACCACGGAGACTGTCTGCAGACAAACGCTGGCTCCCTTGGCTAGGAAACTGAGATGAGCACCGCCCCCTAGAGTCAGGCATGACTGGACTTAATGTCAAGGGGAAACCTTTACCTTTACCTTTTCCAGTTAGTTTAGCTCACTGAACAGCAGGAGAAGCCCATGTGGCTTCACAAAAACCTTAGGGATGATATGAAAAGAAAAAAGGACACGTATCATGGGGAATTATCAGGATGGCGGCCAATGACAAGCTGAGTCCCCCAGGGCTCAGTTCTGGATAACTAGTCTGCTGACTAAATTCATGGACAATACCAAAGGGGGGGGGGCAGTGGCCACAACTGGGGAACAGGTGATCCAGATCCAGAAGGATCTGCACAGGCCGTGGAAGTGGGCGGGGGACAACAAGGTGGCATTCAATGTGGATAAGTGTAACATCTTGCACTTGGGAGACAGGAATAGGTGTTACAGGTACAGGATGAGGGACAAGTGGCTGGAGAGCAGCACTTGCAAAAGGGATCTTGGGATGGCTGTTGACAGCAGACTGAACATGCGCCAGCAGTGTGACACAGTGTTTAAGAAGGCAAATGCCACCCTTGGATGTGTAGCCAGAAGCATGGCTTCCAGATCAAGGGAGGTGTTGAAACCACTCTGCATGGCTCTGGTGCGCCCACAACTGGAGTGCTGCATCCAGTTCTGAACTCCACATTATAGGAGAGACAGAGCTAGGGTAGAATTGGTGCAGCACAGGGTCACAAGAAGGGTGGCTGGGTTGGGGGGAATGACATATGAGGAGAGATGGAGGGAACTGGGTCTTTTCAGCCTGGAGAAGAGAAGACTCCGAAGGGATCTTTTAGCATCTTCTAAGTATGCAGCCCCTTCATGGATCACTGCCTTGTCGTGGCGAAGGGGCTTGCGTAGCTCATTGAAGCGATGAGCTACATTGTGCAGGGCCACCCAAGACAGCCAGGCCACAGCAGAGAGGTCTGACAAAACGTGATCCCCTGGAGAAGGAAATGGCAACCCACTCCAGTACCCTTGCCGTGAAACCCCACGGACAGTACCAAAAGGCGAAAAGATATGACGCCAGAAGATGAGCCCCTCAGGTCGGAAGGTGTCCAATATGCTACTGGGAAGAGCAGAGGGCTAGTACTAGTAGTGCCAGAAAGAATGAAGCGACTGGGTCAAAGCCAGAAGGACACTCAGTTGCCGATGTATCTGGTGGTGAAAGGAGAGTCCGATGCTGTAAAGATCTATACTGCATAGGAACCTGGAATGTAAGATCCACGAATCAAGGCAAGCTGGACGTGGTCTAACAAGAGATGACAAGACTGAACATCGACATCTTAGGAATCAGTGAACTAAAATGGACAGGAATGGGTGAATTTAATTCAGATGACCATCAGGTATACTACTGCGGGCAAGAATCCCTCTGAAAAAAGACTATGAGTAGCCTTCATAGTCAATAAAAGAGTAGGAAAAGCAGTACTGAGATACAATCTCCAAAATGACAGAATGATCTCAGTTCGAATCCAAGGCAAACCATTCAACATCACAGTAGTCCAACCACTGGTGCGGAAGAGGCTGAAGTTGACCCGTTCTATGAAGGCCCACAACACCTTCTAGAATTAATACCAACAAATGATGTCCTTATCATCATGAGGGATTGGAATGCTAAAGTAGGAAGCCAAAAGATAACCAGAATAACAGGCAGGTTTGGCCTTGGAGTACAAAATGAAGCAGGGCACAGGCTGGTAGAACTTTGTCAAGAGAATACGATGGTCATAGCAAACACTCTTTTCCAACAACCCAAGAGACAACACTACACATGAACGTCACCAGATGGTCAACACAGAAATCAGACTGACTATGTGCTCTGCAGCCAAAGATGGAGAAGCTCTATACAGTCAGTAAAAACAAGACCAGGAGCTGACTGAGGCTCAGATCATGAGCTTCTTGTTGCAAAATTTAGGCTTAAATTGAAGAAAGTAGGGAAAAGCACTAGGCCACTCAGGTATGACCTAAATCATATCCCTGATGAATATACAGTAGAGGTGACAAATAGATTTAAGGAATTAGATCTGATAGACAGAGTGCCTGAAGAACTATGGATGGAGGTTTGCAATATTGTACAAGAGGTAGCAACTAAAACCATCCCTAAGAAAAAGAAATGCAAGAAAGCAAAATGGCTGTCTGAGGAAGCTTTACAAATAGCTGAGGAAAGAAGGCAAGCAAAAGGCAAGGGAGAAAGAGAAAGATACACTCAATTGAATGCAGAATTCCAGAGAATAGCTAGAAGAGATAACAATGCCTTCTTAAATGAACAGTGCAAAGAATTATTATTATTATTATTATTATTATTACATTTTTATACTGCCCATAGCCATAGCTCTCTAGGCAGTTGACAGCAATAATCATAGAATCATACACTCAAGTCACCCATCCCACTTCTGCCCAGGCCTGACCCTGCTTAGCTTCCGAAAACAATAGAATAGGGAGGACTAGAGATCTCTCCAAGAAAATGGGGGATATGAAGGGAACATTTCATGCAAAGATGGACATGATAAAGGACCAAAATGGCAGGGACTTAACAGAGGCAGAAGAAGAGGTGGCAAGATTACACAGAAGAACTATACAAGAAAGAGCTTAATGTCCCTGATAACCACGGTGGTCACTGACCTTGAGCCAGACGTCCTGGAATGTGAAGTCGAATGGGAAGTCTGAGCAACAACAAAGCTAGTGGACAGTATTCCAGCTGAGCTATTCAAAATCCTAAAAGACGATGCAGTTAAAGTGCTACACTGGTAGTTCTTGGTCCACATACTGCTGGAGCCCAGCTTGTAGGATTCTGAGCATCACTTTGCTAGCATGTGAAATGAGTGCAATGGTGCGGTAGTTTGAACATTCTTTGGCATTGCCCTTCTTTGGAATTGGAATGTAAACTGACCTTTTCCAATCCTGTGGCCACTGTTGAGTTTTCCAAATTTGCTGGCATATTGAGTGTAGCACTTTAACTGCATCGTCTTTTAGGATTTTGACTTGCTCAGCTGGGATAGGATATGAAATGGGCTTCCAAGGGAGGTGGTGGAGGCCCCATCAATGAGGGTGTTCAAGGAAAGATTGGACAACCACCTGTTGGGGACTATATGAGTGGAGCTGGGGGTCAGACTAGATGGCCCGGGAGGTCCCTTCTGACTTGCTTGTTTCTATGTTGCTATCAGAAGTGGAAAGCCAGAATGCAAAGGAAGAATGCAAAGGCAGGTAGCGTGGAATTTCAGGGATGGCATCAGTAGTGTTAAAACTAGGAATGAATTGAGTCTAGTGAGGGATGCTAAAAGCAACAGAAAAGCCTTCTTCAGATATATATTTTATTGGCAAAAAAGAAAGAAATGGGTGTTCAGCTACTCAATTTGGGTGGCAAAATAAGAGCAGATGACAGAGTAAAGGAGGAAGTGCTCAATTCCTATTTTGGCTCAGTCTTCTCCCAAAAAATCTATGACCTTCCTGATGAAGGGGAAGTACAAGCTGAAGGAACATAATGGCAGCTCAAGACTGATAGGCAAATGGTCCAGCATCAACTAATTGGGTTGAATGAGCTCAAAGCTTCAGGGCCTGATGAACTCACCCTATAGTCAGAGAGATGCTGGAGGAACCACTCTCAGAAACACTGTCTACTATCCTTGAGAACTCATGGAGGACAGGGGAAGTGCCAGATGAACGGAGAAGGGCTAGCGTTGTTCCTATCTTCAAGAAAGGGAAAAAAGAACCAGGGAACTACACACCAGGTAATCTGGCATCAATCCCTGGGAAAATTCTGGAGCAGATTAGAAAGCAGTCAGTCTGTAAGCACTCTGAAAGCAATGCAGTGACTAGACAGCCTCCAGAAGAACAAGTTTGATTCCTGAGAAAACAGAAATTTGTCTTTCAGTTGAATTTGTAAGTCAGCCCTCCTTATTCATAGGGGTTTGTGATAAAGGCCCCCATAAAAGTAGAAACACTGCAAATATCTCTAACCTTCCCCACTCAGACTCACCAGTGTCTTCTCTTTGCAGTAAAGGAAATGCCAGAAAGATTTCCCTCTCCAGATGGGCCGGGTAGGAAGCCATGCTTTCAAGGCCGCCTTCTCTACCCTTTTGCTTCCCCTCTCTCCATGGTGATGATTTTCTGCAGTAATTTTTTTTAAATTAATATGCTTTATGGCAGTTAGTAAGTACAGGTTCTTCATAACTTGGGCATTCACAACTCTGGGACTCTGTAAGAAGCCAACATGGATTTCTCAAGAATAAATCCTACCAGACTAATTCGATTTCATTTTTTGGCTGGGTAACCTCCCTGATTGACAATGTGGACATAATCTATCTTGACTTCAGCAAAGCTTTTGACAAAGTGCCCCATGATATGCTGCTTAGCAAACAGGCTTAAAGTGGGTTAGACATGGCAACAACTGGACAGGTGGATCCATAGCTGGACTCAAAGAGTGCTCATCAATGGCACCCTCTCAAACCGGGGAGAAGTAGCAAGCACAGTACTGCAGGGTTCAGCCCTGGGCCCATTGTTCTTCAACATTTTTATTAATGATTTGGATGAGGAAGTGCAGGGGATGATTGTCAGATTTGCAGATGACACAAAATTGGGTGGGCTAGCTAATACCCTGGAAGACAGAGAGAAGATTCAAAGTGATCTTGATAGGTTGGAGCACTGGGCTGAAAACAACAGAATGAAATTCAGCTGGGACAAATGCCAAGTTCTGCACTTAGGAAAAGGAAATCAAACGCCTTGTTATAAGATCAGTAATTTATTTTTATCTATTTAATTTCTGTACCACCCAACAGCCAAAGTTCTCTTGAATACTTAGCTCAACAAAACTGCAGGTGAGAAGATCTTGAAATTGTGGTAGATCATAAGCTGAATATGAGTGTGATACAGTTGCAAAAAGGGCAAACACTATTAATAGAAGTGACACATCCAAATCATGTAAAATACTAGTTCCTCTATTCAACACTGGTTAGGCCTCATCTGAAGTACTTTGTCCCGTTCTGGGCACCTCACTTCAAGATAAATGCAAATTAGCTCGAAAGGGTTCAGAGGAAGACAACAAGGAAGATGCAGGGACTGGAAAAAAAAGCCTCATGAAGAGAGAGAGCAGTTTAGCCTCAAGAAGGGAGCACTGAGGGGAGATACAAAAGTACTCTACAAGTGCCTGAAAGGCTGTCACAAAGAGGAAGGACAGGATCACTTCTTGATCACCCCAGAGTGCAGGGCAAGGAATAATGCACTCAAATTACAGGAAGCCAGATTCCAGCTAGATATCAGAATAAATTTCTGGACAGAGCAGTACAACAATGCAACCAATGACCAAGGGAGGCTGTGGGCTCTCTCACACTAGAGGCATTCAAGATGCAACTGGACAACCATCTGAAATGAATGGTTTAACTTGGAGTCCTGCAATAAGCAAAGGGTTGGACCTGATGGCCTTTGGGCCCCTTCCAACTCTAGTATTCTATGCTTCTATCTTACATCAGAGCATTACAGCGACTTGTAAACTCCAGAAGAACTCAATGCCTTTCCTTTCGGAACTACTCACGACTTAGTTTTTTGCAGCATACATCCTGCTGAGATTTTCTGTTGGGCCATTGGACCTAGCAAATAAAGAAACAAACAGTAAGGATGTACAGAACTGCCTTACATCAAATCAGTTCATTACATGAAAGAAGCTCTGTCACCAAGTGTGGCCTCCCACAACAGCTAGCAGAGCTTTGGTCCAGGAAGAGCATAATTTATGAGCTAGTGTTACTATTAATTTAGCGAATTCAACTACCTTATAAACATCCATGCTTCACAACCCTTCCCTTATTCATCCTGCTCTCCGTGCAGCTGGATGAATCCCCTTAAGCAGGATCCAGGTACGAAATAAACGCCTGTAAAATTGGGGCCCCTGTACTCAAAAGCAATATAAGAAACTACCACTGGGGGCAACCATACAGACATAACAGCAGCGCCGCAGGGTCAGATCAAGGGCCTATTTGGTCCAGCAACTTGTGTCCTAAGAACTTAAGAACAATGCAGGATCAGATCAAGGGCCCATCAGTCTAACAATCTTTAGAGTTGCCAGCCCGCTGCTCATGCACAAGGAGGACACGAACGTAACAGCACCCACTCGCCCATATGCCTCTGCTAATGGAGACAGCAAATTCCTGTTGGAATGGTTGCCATTGATAGTACTACCCCACACAAACTTGTCCAATCCGCTTTAAAAGCTATTCAAATGATTGGCATCACTACTTCTTGTGGAAGTGAATTCCATAGTTTAACTACCTGATGTGTAAAGCAATCCTTTCGATTGGTCCTGAACTCCCCACCAGTCAGTTTCATGGGATGACCCCTTTGGACTCCAGTATTATGAGGAAAATGTCTCCTCTACATTCTCCACACCATGCATATTTCTGCACTCCTCTATCATGGCTCCCCTTATTCACCTTTTTTGTAACCCAAACAATCCCAGCTGCTGTAAACTTTTCTCATAGGAGAGCTGCCCCAGCCCCTTTGCTGCATTTTCTAACTCCACAGGATCCTTTTTCAGATGATAGCTGCAACTACATACAGTAGTATGTATGCAGATCACAAATGTGGATAAGGGCAGAATGACCTTGGGGAACTGCAAGACTTTAGTACCACAAATCCACGGGACAACGAGCGCCTCAACCATCACTTTCCAGACCAGCCGGTCATAAAATACGGAAGAGGAGCACGAGCAGCGCTGCCGGGCAAGGGCGTAAAACCGCATCCTGCCCGCCGCAGACCGCCAGGCGCCCCCAGCCACCCGCCCCACGCGGATGCCGCAGCGGGCCCGGAGCGACCCGCCGCGCGAGGGAGCCGAGCCCCTCGAAACCTCCGGAGCCGCGGGCCCTGCCGGCTCCCAGGCCAGCGCGCCTCCGTCCCCCGCCCGAGGCGGCTCTGCGCAAGCCGAGGACAGCCCGCGGCGCCCGCACCTACGCTCGCTCGCGCGTCCGCCCGCCCGCCCGCCCGAGGGCGAGGGCGGCCGGGCCCGAAGTGGCGCTCGCGCCGGCCAAGCGCGGGACACGCGTCCTTCCCGCCAGCGACGGGCGGCGTCAGCCGCGCACACGGCCCGAGCGAGGCCGCAGCAGGGAAGGCGCCGCACCAAAATTCCCGCCGCGCGGGCCGCGAGGACGCACTTCCGGCTAGGCGGGCGCGGCTTCCTCTTCCTCCTCCTCTTCCTCCCGCTCGCGCTCCCGCTCCCCCTCCGCGGGGCGGGGCGGGGCGGGGCGGCGTGTCGCGCCGAGCGGGCCGTGGGGGCGCAGCAGGGGCTGGAGCCGAACCGAGCCGCTCCCGTGGGGAGCGTCCAGCACGGGCGGCGCGGCGCGGAGGGGCGGTGCCGGGGACCGGCCTCGAGAAGAGGCGGGCCTGCTGGGCGTCCCGCGTGCGCGGCGGAGCCGGCGGCCAGCGGGAACTGCCCAGCCGGGAGGGCGATGCCGCAGAGCGCGGCCCCGAAGCCGGGCAGCCGCGTGAGCCTCGCGCCGCTGGCTCGCTCCGCCCGCGCGGGGCGGCAGGCCGGCCAGAGCCCCTTCCGGCCACCGGGCTGCCCGGCAGCCTCGCTCCGGCCGCCTGCGCGACCGCAGATGCAGCGGGCGGCGGCCGCCACAGGGTGCGCGGGTTCCCGCGGCGCTCCAGCCGCTCGGCGACGCCGATTTCGCAGGCTGTGCCGAGCGCGTTCGGGCAGGCCTGGAGCCGCGCCCTCGGGCGGGACGGACAGGCCGCGGCTGCGAGCGGACGCCAGGGGGCCCGTGCCGCGGACGCCGACGCAGTTGGCGGTGCGGCCGGCCTGCGGTCGCGGTCAAGCGCGGCCCCGCGCCAGAGGGCCTCGGCGTGCCCGCTCGTAGGAGGCCGGGGCAGCTCGGCGTGGCTGCGTTGCAGGCAGGGACACCCGCGCGCCTGGTTCGTGAGACGGAGGGATGGCGGATGCTCCGCGAATGGGGCGAAGACATGCTGAGGGAAGGCCCTGCCGCGGAAGCATGGAGGACACTGTTAGGCCAAGGAGCAGGAGGAGCGGCCGAGCAAACCGCAGCAGCACCCAGCGTCCCTTGGGAGGAAAAGCGGTTCTCCCCGAGCTGGATGTAAGGGCAAGCCCCAAACTGAGGTGGCATTGCTCTCCGCACTACTTGCAGAGGGCTGGAAGACAAGCTTGCTTTATTGGATTCCCCATGGGGAGCATGGCACTGCTTGTTACTCAGGTTTTCTTTTAGATTCAGGTGCTGGGACCTAAGGGCTTGTAAGGAAGCTTGGACAGGCAGGGATCTCCCACCCATCTTGTTTAAGGCATGTGAGGGAGCTGATTTGTCACTGTGGATGTGGAATGCTGAGCTAGATGGACCGATGGTCTGCTCAAGCAGGGCTTATGCTCTGAACAGTAGTGAATCTGTGGTTCACAAGCAAGTCTGCCTTTACTGCTTGGTGTCTAAGATTGCAGTTATGCTGACAAAACAGTGGGCAAGTTGTGGAGTAACAGACCGCTATTTGTTACTCCCTATAGCTAGCAGCTCCATGAGTCCAGAATATTTCCATCTACCCTCATAAAGCTTGGTGTAACAACAGCTGCCTTAAACTGTTGAGAAAGAATTGTTACAGTCATTCTGTCAATCCAGCATGTCTTTCTCTAATCCAGAAACAAATTCTTAGTTGGTATCTGAAAAAGCCAACCAGAAGGCAGGAAATTGTAGGAGTGCCAGGGAATCCCAAGGGTAACTGCTCGCTAGCAGAGATCACTTCTTTATTTTGCATAGTTCTTGTTCCGCTAACACGTTTTTCCAAATTTAGGAGCCTTTGGGACCATTGTATGTTTGCCTTTCAGGAAAAAGGCAAGAAAGAAATTCCTAACTTTGACCATGTCTTCCATTTTTAAAGCTGTCCATTAGTTCTGAACTAGCTTTTTGGGGCTAGAAGTTTGGTTTCTGAAAGGCTTGGAGCAAACTGAGTTTTCCCTTTGCAGGACTGATCTCTACCATACCTTTCCTCCTACCATTTATCTAGGGACACAGGCTGGGACACTGAATGGAACTCCTTCCCACCCCCTGACACACCCCTTTCCAGCCCCATCCAAAGCCCAGTTATGACTGGGGGAATAGCCTTGTACTTTCTATACCCACGACAAAGGGACATATACCTGTGCCCTAAGCTGAGCTAAGTAACAACTCAAATTTCTGCTAGCTTGGTCTGCTAGAACTTTTGCATGCCATGGCAATTTCATTTGATGCTCTTGTAGTTTTCTTAATACTGTTTTTTTAATAGGCTTCAGTAAGAGTTAAACTGTAGTTTACTTTGCATATGAGAGTCACACAGTTTTGTGCTCTGTCAATATAAATGCATTTTCTCATTGCCTGTATTCTTCATTTATTTTTCTCTATAAACAATTCATACCTTAATATTTCCTGTGCATTATAAAATGCCTTAATTTTTCGTAAGTTAATGGACCATTCACTGTTTTCCTGCAGTTTTAAAATGTATTTTTCACTATATAGTGGTACCTCGGCTCTTGAACGCCTCAGTTCACAACCAAATTGGGTCGCAAACAAAAATTTCATAAAAATTTTGACTCAGGTCGTGAACTCCGCATTGGGTGGCAACCATGATCACGGCCATCTCCCCACCCCACCCCAAGTGGGGAGATGGCCGTGATCATGCTGGGGGCGGGGGGAGATGGCTGAGATCGTCCCATCTTTCCTGCAGGAGTGCGCCCGTGATTGCACCCATCTTTCCTGCACAAGTGCAACCCCGATCTCGGCCATCTTCCCCAGCACGCCTGCGACTGCGCCTGTCTCCCCTGTCTTCCCGCGCACACGCCGGGATGACGGGCGCATGCAGGGATGACGGGCACGTTCACAGTTGTGCTGGGGGAGAGGGGAGGTCTCCGTCCTTGTGCTGGGGGGGGGGACGGCCACGATCCTTGTTCTTTGTCACTTTGCTTCACATTTTTCTGATTAAAAAAACTTATTTACATTGAACCTTATGGGGAAATTTAACTTGGCTCATGACCAATTTGGGTCACGACCAGAGTCCTGGAATGGATTAAATTCATGAGCCAAGGTACCACTGTATATTGTGAGCTTTTAAATAGCTATGGATCAGCTGCAGCTATGCTCTTTCTCATTGAGGCAAACTCAAACTCGTTTGCAATGTTCTTGGCTGCTGAAGCAACTGGTGATTAAATGAAGAAGCCAGTGGCAGTGGGCGGAGGAAGGAGCAGCAGGGAAATGGCGGAGTTTGTTTGGTGGCCATGCTACTGACTGGAAGGCCCTTGGCCAGGACAGCGTTACTGCTGAAAGGAGCTGTAAGACTGGGGGTGCCTCCTGTTGGCATTGCACACTAGGGAGGCAGCTCTGGCAACCCCTGTGCCCATTCTGCTCCCGGGTAAATGCTCTTTGCATAGCCTCCAGCTTCCTGCAGGAAATGGCCAACTCAGGACCAAGGTGCATTGTTGTGCTCACTGCAGAAAGCGCCTAGCCAGCACAGTGTGTGTGGCCCCTGGACCTGGGTCCTCCCTCCCACTGGGTGCCTCTGTTTCCAAGACTCTTCCGCCTCCCCGCTCCTCTGGCCTCCTGGGAGAGCCTTGCGTGTTTCACTCCGGCAAATGCCCCATGTCAGAAAGGGGCAGAGCTACCCGTCCCCCTGGAGAGGCTCAGCGTCCCTCTAGCCCAAATGCTTATTGAACCTGATATGCAAAAAACAAGTAGTTGCTTAAATGTTTATTAATAGGTTCCACAATAAGTGCAGAGGAGGTGTGGAGTTGGATTTAGTGTAGTGTGAACTGCCCTTCTGAATCCCCTCCCTATAAAAAGGGAAACCCACCTTTTAGGCACAGCTTTTAGAATGGGGCAGCAGCTGCCCCAAGCCCCTCCATCATCCCCCAAGCCCCAGGCCAGGTCTGCTTTCTGCCCCTGTGTCCAGGGATAGGACCATGCTAATTTCCCAGCCTTCCCTGCCCCCACGCCAGTGGAGCTTCCTTCTGTGCAAGGAACCCTTTTGTAGAACCATCGGGAGGACGAGAGGCGATTAGGGGCGGGGGCAATGGCCAGCCTTGAGGAGATGATCCTGTGTGAAGTGCTTGTGGCAGGGAGCAACCTGCTGGAGTCCTCTTCACCCATAGCTATGGGGGCTACTGGGGTTCATGGGGGAGGAGTCTTGCCGTCCAGACTGGCCCTTCAGTTGCCAAAGCCGATGGCTGAGATTCTGTACTTGGCAAGTGCCCAAAGCACAGCCAACGCGCATCAGTTGTGCATGGTGAAGCCGGGCAGCTGCGTGGCGCTTCCTCCGCAGGGCCATGGTCCTTGAAGGCTGGGCCAGGGAGCCACTGCCGAGCAGTGAGGGATCCAGTCCAGATCTGGTGAG